AGCGATACACTGATCATCACATAATACTAAAACACAAATCCATACAAAGTGTCCATCGATGGTATGTGTCTTTTGCCTGAGAACCGCTCGGTATCCGTCATCGTTGCCGAACTCAATGAACCCATACTTCTTGGACAGACCGGTCGCCCTGTCCTGTCATTCACAATACAATTACATTCAATAAATACTGTGTATTAGTGGACATAATGGACATCACATACAAAGATCACGTTATGGTAGACAACGGGTCCGAAAGTAGCGAAGTATTCGTAGAGATCTCCTAAATGTCACCACAAGAGAAGTAAACCATTAATGATATTATCATTTGTGGGAAGCATTTAAATAATACTTTGGCCGACAGTCCAGGGGAGACCCGACACATACAGCTGACGAATGGCTCGCAAAGACATCTTCACACGGATTCACTGATCAATGGTTTGTTATGTTAACGAGACGGACATGTGTTGACAGTACTGTCAAAGTTTGCCACAACCGGCGCCACTCTCTCTCCCCCTCACATACCGGCCCTCTCTATGAATGAGCCATAAATTGTGTCATATATTCAATGATTAGTATCTGGTTATAGACGCGAACACATGTCAAGTGGTTATCAATTGGACTCATATGAAAGTCTCAAGAAGTGGTCACAAATTGTGGACAAACTATGGTCTCGTATTGAGCGCCACTTTCATAAACTTTAATTCATACATAATGTCAATCATATAAAGGGGACTAAATTGACAATAAAAATAGTGAACCGTTTGTAATGAAAAGTGTGTTTAATATATGCTAAAGGGCTCTCAAAATACGAATATGACTGAAGTGTATGTTATTTATTGGCATTCAATACAAACATTGCAAACATGTGTTGACAACAAAAGTTGAAAGTTTTGCCAAACATTTCAAATTGAAATGTTTGTCAATTCAATACATTTTGATGTGATTTCAGTGATTACTAGAGTTGTGACAAATTGTGGTCTCAATCATGCAGTCATTCAAGCGATCATATCAGAGATTGCCGTTTAAGACACCACTCATGAGTGGACATCAGACATTGCTGAAGAAATGGTTGATCTCAAGACCCGTTTGCAGCCAATTGGTGGTCAGAGTGGTGGCCGACAGCCACTGGAAGTATTGGAAGCGTTGTGTATGCCTTCAAATGGTGAACACACACCACATGAAGAGTATTCATTGATAATGAGAATCGGTTCGCCTTCAAAGTCATCTAATATCTTATAAGCGAAGAATCGGTTGATATAAGTGAAGACGTGGACACTAATGGATCCGTTGATCATATTATCGATAAGTTTATAGCCATTCCTCGCAAAGAATTCAGAGACAATCCAATTGTTATCAACGAATTGGTGCGAGCGGTGAAGTCATTGAGTTTAAGACAATTGCTGACTGTCTTGAAATTGATGACCAAATGGCCGGTTCTTGAGCTCACGTTTGATCCCTTATACTATAAAGTGTGGTCTAATATAGACCACGAATTGGATGATAGGCTGACAGCGGATCAGTTGAATGGCAACAAAGATGTGGAGAAATACCTGTTGTTTGGAAACATGTTTTACAGACTGAAGACCGCAAACATCACTAAATTCAACGACACTTTAGTCAAGAGATTGAGTTCTCCTGACTTCGAGTTGAATAAGACATCGATTGTTCACCTCTTGTTTTACGCGAATCTTCACCGAAGTCTTGACCCAAAAGCCGCTGAATATATAATGAGACGAATGGAGGCTTTGGTGAATGACATGGATTTGCAGGAATTGAGAGTGTTTTGTAACTGATGTCTTGTTTCAAGACAAACACTAAACTGACGGATCAGTTGTTGACCACAATTATCGGCAAATCCATTAGCGATGTCTCGGATGAGACCAATGATATGACGCGAACGGCGATCACGAAATGCATCCGACATTCATATGCCCCCACTTTCGGCCACATTTCGTTGAATATATCGATAAATTGAAACAATTGTCCACTAATTCCGAGATAAAATAAATTGTATTAACGTAAAGTAAATCAAAATATTTATCTATTTTTATAGGTGCGTGAAATCATTACGGTATATGTATAACGTTAGAGTTAATCGTGAAATTTTATCGCATTCTTAATGTATTACAAATCAACACTTACAGTATATCAGTAGTTAATACTGTAGCAGTTAAAATCATTATTTGAAATGAGATTTCCTGAGAGTTATGTAAGATTTTTATTTGATTTACAAATCCATTATAACGAAAATATTGCTAGAAGTTAGTAAAATATTGAGACATTTTTATCAAATTAAATATTTTCTTTTCCTATAAGTACAGTACAGTAAGACATTTCGTTATGTAATGTAATATTTAATTGATGGCATAATTAAGAAATTCATTACATTTGAAATTATTTATATCGATATGATGAATTCAGAGCGTATTAAATTCACATTGTAATCCCTACTACATCCCATCCCTGTAATGCACTCAAGTTAATATAGAATATTATTTTAATAAACTAGAGCCTAGTTACTAGACACTAATTAGAAACTATTCACTAATATTTTACTATAGTTACAGACTGTAACTCACAGTTGTATAGTGTAATATCATATCATAATTTATATTAGCATCTGACCATCATATTAATTTTATAATAGTTCCGTTACAGTATTTTACCAATTTAAAGTTACAGTATAATCATACAGTAATACATTATACTATATTTAATTAAATTAATAATTTACATATATAATGATTATAGAGTATAAAAAGTTTTGATTTGGTTTATTGTTATTTTAAAGTCATTTATGTGGATATTTTGTTTTAATGATCATATTACTATATATGAAAAAATACACTAATTAGTTATTAGTAACAACTATAAATATACAGTAGAAAAATTAACAAGATAATTTTTAATATAATAATAATTGTATGTTTGCTATGAATTTAGTTCAATGACTATAAGGCAACCAAAGGTAAGCACCGGTAATGACCGCTATATTCACTAATAAAACTCATAAAAACAATTTCTAAATGATTGAGTGCACAATTGACTACCTTGCTCAAAAGTTTTGAGTCAAAACACACAATACATAGAATACAGGGTTCACTGGCTGTGGGCTTAGGGAGCATAGAGTTTGTGGAAACGAGAGGCCAGTTATGCAACACTCGAGTGAAGCCATACATAGAGTACAGTGAGGCAGAGAAGTGGTGCGCAAAGCACTGCCATAAATGCCATTCAATGCAATCGCTTGACGACTGGTATAACTGTATTGAGTGAATGGCAGACAAAACAGTGTTTGTGTTTCGCAGCAATCACTCAATAATCACTCGTTTTGTGTAATTATTGTCCGAAATATACATTAAATTAGTGTTCATTTGAAACACAATTAGAGATCTATTTACAAGTTGTCGTCAAAACTATCACCACATTTGGAGTCATAATAATCGCTACAAGAAGTGGCTGTCGATGATAGTAATGCCGACCAATTGGGCGTCTCATTGAATGTGCAATCGCTGTGTGTTTTAGCCATCGATTCAAGTGATCAGACAATTATCGCTCATCTGTGGTGTCTTTGTGTGGGTCCGTGTCGTCCTCCTCATCAGTCATGTCATCGCGAGTGCACTCGAATTACTCGCACCCGAGGAATGGATCCGTGTCCTCGCGGCCATCGTTTAGCCGTCAGCTCCGGAACCGCTGCGACCTCTGCATCCGTATCTTCAAGTGGCTGCCCGTCCTCTTCATCGTGTCGGTGCTCTCGTGGGGTTATTACGCGTACGTCATTCAACTCAACCTCTTCAACGTCGAGCACATCCTTCTCAAGACTTTCTATTTGATTGTCTTTCACGTGATATACGTGTTGACGCTGTGGTCCTATTGGCAGACCATCTTCACGGACAGCGCACACATACCCCGAGATGTATGATATTTGCCATAAGAGAGAGAGAGAGAGAGAGAGAGAGTCACAGTATTTGATCCAATGGTTGCCTGTCTTATATAGTTCTGGTTCCCGGCCTCAGAGAAGGAGAAGCTCTTACAGGAGCCCAACGAAGAGAATCAAAGACGTCTTGTGGAGCAGTACGTGAGTGACCGCAATCTGCCGGTGCAGTGTCGCGCCTACACCGGCACCTACAGGATCTGTGACAACTGCTTCATGATTAAGCCGGACAGAGCCCACCACTGCTCCGTATGCGACCAATGCGTGCTTAAGATGGACCACCACTGCCCCTGGTTTGTCACCATTACATGCCATACCATACCACTACTACACCGCTTGTTACCACTTGAATCACTAATTGATTGCTTTGTTTCGTTTGATCCTCAATAGGGTTAATAATTGTGTCTCGTTTTCAAACTACAAATTTTTTATACTATTTCTCGGATACGCTTTCCTCTTGTGTTTCTATTCAGCCCTCACTTCGTTCCCGTATTTCCTCAAGTTTTGGAAGGTATGACTCACATCCCAACCCCTGTCCCTCACGTATCATATCTATGATAAACACGCGAGAGATATGGTGTCAAAAATGATTGACTGATTGTAATGTCTGTCTATTGCAGAACGAATTGACAGAATGGGGAAAATTTCATATATTATTCCTATTCTTCGTGTCCACAATGTTTGCCATTAGTCTCATCTCACTATTCGGTTATCATATATATCTAGTTTTGCTCAACAGATCCACATTAGGTTTATATTGGCGACCAGTTTTTTTGTCTAAAAACTAATGTTTTGATTGCCCCTAAAGAGTCATTCCGAGCGCCTGTATTCGCGAGTGGGCCCGACCGGAATGCCTATAATTTAGGAAAATTAAAGAATTTTTGTCAAGTATTTGGCGATAAAAAGGTGTTATGGTTCGTCCCGATCTACACCAGGTTTGTATCAATGTTTTGACTATTTTATCGGTATTTTATAGCCAATTGATAGGCAATAGAAATTAGTTTTATGAAAGCGAAACACTTATTTACAAATCACGCCAATAGTTAAGCCCTTTTGCACTCTTCCCAAACCCTAATAGTATTGGAGACGGGATTATATATGAGACGAGAGCCCAACTACCGGTGGAGCACAACCACAATCACAATCAGCAAAGTTTTTACAACTCTATCGGACAGTCAAATACTATATCCATACCAATTGAGACCAATGGTCTTGAGACACAGCAAGAGTTGCAGCGCCCGAACACTGATGACAGTGAGCACAGGTCAGCATAAGTGCCAAAATAAAGCCCACAATTTACTCATTACACAAAATGCAAAGTATTTTTGCAGTATTTTATTAGTGAATCAATATTTGCGATATATTTTCGTATTTAATAACCAATTTTTACTATTATTTATCCATTATTTACAGTTTTATAGAGTTGTAAAAACTTTTTTAATTAGTATTTATTAGTATTTACTCAGAATTATAAGTAATAAATGATTGAATCCATTGAAAAAGTATTATTAAGTGTTGACTATTCAATGAAATGATATGATTTTCAATATGTATTGCTTGACAGTAAGGGCAGTGGAATTGTTTTTGACCAAAAATATTACTGTGAAGACAACGACAAACTACTGAATGGTGATGAGGAGGAGGAGGATGTGGACAGGGAGGAAGAGGCCATTATTAGCCGCACCGCTGCCTCTGGTATTCATTGATATTGCATGCGTTTGTGTTGTGATTATGTGATGTGTTTGTGGTCGCAATACACGAGTGAATCAAACAAAACTATTTTTGTTTCTATTATGCATTGCCAACCACTGGTACAGATGGGATGACTACTGACCATGAAGTGCCGACTCCACTATCATTCACTACCACTACTACTACTATTAATGCTAACTCTAATGTCAATCACAATTCGAGTCAATATATCATAGATTCTTGAGATTCTTGCTTTTTTATAATATGCAATATTTTGTAAAAGTTTTGTTTTTATTTTCATTTATGAGACATTACGTTAATATAGACTTTATTTCACAATTATGTTATCAATTGTTAATTGAATTCATTGTAAATTCAATTTAAATCATTAATAAATAGATCACTAATTTATAAAACTATAGTCAATATCATCTAAAATAGCGTTTAATGGGTTTGAGTGACAACTCTATTGTACAGTATTTTATAGTAGTATCACTTGTTTGTGCTTTTTATCTGTAATTATCTTAATATGTGTCGAGAGCTCTACTTTTTTCATAAGGTTTTCCAGATATATTTTTTGTTGTTTACTGTGTGTTGGATAATATCATATTATGAGATGCGATGATAACTACAAGTGTTTATTATTCATAGATTGTTGCCTCACTTCCTATAAATTACAGTTGAAGTCATTAATAGCTATAAATTCTTATTACATCCGATATATGGGAGTCTCTGCTCTTTCCGTATAAAATCTATTCATTGGTTACAAAACAATAAGAATTGGATGGAAATGGATATAAATATATAGTAACAGTATTACCGCATATTTGACGTTAATTAAAATCATAGGGCGACTCACTTCACGTGACATTCAAATTCACTTTTAATTAATTCAATTGATTTTGAATACACGGCATAATTGATTGGCTTTTGTAGTCCAAGTTTAATCAAACAATGTTTGGTATAAACAGTGATATGAATATTAAGGTTATGTTTTGTATCGATTGCCACAAAAATACACATTCGCTGCAAATATCGAGGCCTTAAATAACTTTTAAAACTCGTTTCACAACTTTACTTTTAATGGAGACACAAGTTTTTTTATTTCCCTATTATTATCGTATAATACACGGGATAAACAAAGTTACAAAGTTTAGTTTATTTTCAAATGGTGTGTGAGATGTGGTTATTAACAGTGTTTAGTCTGGCATTCATTTATTATGTATTCAAAAGCAACTCAAAGTCATTAAAGCAAAGAATATTCGCTATAATAGTGAATGCATGCGATTCCCTCAACCTATCCAACTGTTTAGAGACCCACAAAAGGCAACTCTTTTCCTCATTGAATGCCATGATATCGCACGACAAACGGCTGGCCAACGAAGGTGTGGGTTGTCTACGAGTTCTTGAGATTGGTATCGGAAGTGGCAATAATCTCAAGTATTATCCGAGGAATACACGCCTGATTACCATTGAACCCAATCCACACTTTCGCACCAAATTTGACGCTAAACTCAAAGACTTTCCGAGTATTATATTAGAGAAAGCCGTCACCGGAACCGCTGAAGACATGTCGACCATCGAAGACAATTGTGTTGATGTGGTTGTGTCCACTCATGTATTGTGTTCCGTGTATGACATCCAGCAGTGTCTCAAAGAGATCCGACGCGTGTTAGCACCGGACGGAAAGTTCATTTACGTGGAGCACGTGTCGTACGAATTGGGATCTCTTGAGCACCGGTTCCAGTCATGGATTGAGTACTTCTGGAGACTAGTCAACGACGACTGCAGAATAACTCTACAAACGAGTCGATACATAAGAGACGCAAACTTCTCGTCCGTCGACGAGAAGTCAGTGCTCGTGAAGGAGTTGTTCATCACTTTAATAAGACCTCATATTTTCGGAATCGCCTCCAAATGAGGGCTCACTTTATTTTTTGAATGTATAGAAAAATAGTGTAAATAGTAAAACAATTGATTACAATATATTAAATTAATTCAACAAATAATTGCCAACAAATTGGCACAACTTATACCGTAATACAGAAGACATGATAGGATTGACATTCAATGGCAATCAAGCATTGAATCTCGAGTTTGGACCGCAAATTAAAACATACGATAAATGCAATTAGAAATAATAAAATTATAAAAATGTATATAAAATTAAAACTCGAAATTGAAAAATAAATTATTAGTTTTCAGCTTAAAAGGTGATAAATAGTAATTAATCGTGAGATATGTATCGATTGATCCTAGTCTTAAACGGTTTGGAAGTCCTTCTGCCGATGGTCTCCACGTGAAAGCCGATTGATTGAAGTTCCTCGACGTTCACGATCTTCCGACCGTCGAAAACAAAGGCCGGTTTCAGCATCTGGTCATACATTCGCTTGAAATCCAATTTCTGTACACAAATACATGGTTTGAACATTAATTGTTGAACACATTTTGCCAAACAGTTGTCAATTGCATACCAAGAACTCGTCCCATTCGGTACAGAAAACCATGGCGTGAGCGCCTTCCGTGGCTTTGTACGGACTGTCGACCACTTCGATGAGTCTCTCGTCGTCGAGTCTGTCGGCAGATCTTAAATCACTGAACAGATAGAGTGATAAATAAGAAGTTAGTGTCATCTGGACAGTCAGTCTCGTAATTTAATAGTTACGTGTATATTTGTTGCTTGGGCACTTTTGGGTCATATATGCATAGTTTGGCGCCTTCTTCGAGGAGGTACTTGCAGACCAAAATGGCGGGCGACTCGCGAGTGTCACCCGTATTCTTCTTGAAGGCAAAGCCTAAGACCGCTATCTTCTTAGCCGTAACCGTATTGAAGAGACACTCAATGATTCTTAACGCGAATCGTCTCTTCTGGAAGTTATTCATTTCGATTATCTGTCAAACAAACCATTTATTTAGTCATTTCATACTTCAGATGAGACACAAGTGAAGCTAACCTGAAGCCAATAATCGGCCACTTCTGGCAAATTAAGACATTCCGAGAGGTAAACCAAATTCAAGACATCCTTTTGGAAACAACTGCCACCGAAACCGACACCAGCTTTGAGACACTTGGCGCCGATGCGAGTGTCAGAGCCCACAGAATGGGCCACTTCTGACACATCAGCGCCGGTTGCCTCACAAATGGCTGAAATGGCGTTAATCGAGGAGACCCTCTGCGCCAGGAATGCATTGGCGGCTAATTTAGACAATTCCGAGGACCAGGTATTAGTGGTGATGATCTTCTCCTTTGGGATCCAATTGGAATATATGGAACACAACAACTTGATAGCTCTCTGACCCTCCGGTGTCTCTTCGCCACCGATGAGGATTCGGTCCGGATTTAGGAGGTCTTCGATGGCCGTCCCTTCGGCCAAGAATTCCGGATTCGAGAGCACATCGAACCGAATGCCAGGCCTTGTGTTGGCCGTCAGTATTCGGTTAATACTTTCGGCCGCCCGGACGGGAACTGTACTCTTCTCGACCACTATTTTGCTTTTGTTGGAGTAATTGGCTATAAGTCTGGCGACGTGTTCCAGGTTCTGGAGATCGGCCGCCTTTCCCTTCCCGAAGCCAAACGTTTTGGTCGGTGTGTTGACCGAAATGAAGATAATGTCCGCCTTTTCGATCTCCTCCTTGATGTTGATCGAGAAGAAGAGGTTATTTCCGCGACATTTGCGCACAATATCGTCGAGACCGGGCTGTCAGTGGATCAGAGATTCAGTGGTTAATGGCATATAAGAGTGGATGAGGAATATGTGAAGACATGATGGCATACCTCATAAATGGGCAGTTCGTCTGAATTCCATTTCGCGATTCTGTCGGCGTTTGTGTCCACCACACAGACCCTCACGTTTGGACACTTGCTGGCGATGACCGTACAGGTGGGCCCTCCCACATACCCGGCGCCTACACAACAGATCCTCTCGATGGTCATTATGGCAGTGATTGCTATTTCTAATGGTATTCAAGTGAAGAATTAGTCGACTTTTATATGGAAAATCAAATGCTATGAAAGCGACGATTGAATGAATGAATGAAAAGTCATATAAAGACGTCAAACAAACACAAGAATTATAAAGTTTTTTATTATGAATATTAGAAACTCTGTGTTAATTGGATGGAGAAGCGGATCTGCGATAAAATAATATACAACTACTCTATGACTACAGCAATAGGCTATCGGAACAGACAATCAATTGTATCAACAAATCATATGCTGTACCACAACAAGGATCCGCTGATAACAGGCATCTGATATTCAACACCGACTACCACTGACTGATGGCTTAAATAGATTTAGGGTTTTGTATTAAATACTGGCATTTCTGTGGGATATTTAGTACTGGAATCTGGCGTCTGAGACGCCCTTCCCATGAATATTGGTGTTTACACTACAAGAGTGTATGTCTTTTGCACAGACTCTGCAAACCTCTGAGCACTGGTAACTCAATGGTAGAGTAAATGACACCACAATATAATGCACAGAATATTGGCTCTCAATGTATTGGCTCAACAAAGTGTGGGCTCCGGGAGTGCTAGTGAACTGAACACCACTCAAATGGGATGCCCTTTCGTGTAATTATAGCTATAATCCCAATAAAAAAAGAAATTTTCTCAAATAAATTTCCCGAATCATGACTTTTCGGTTGAATTCAAAGTTAAAATACCATTAGTTTAGAGCCCAATACAGAAGGCATGCATTGAATTAATTAACTTGATTTCTATGCATTTTCAAGTATACAGGGTATTATACTTTTTAAAAGCACCGGCACTACAAGAATATTGTGTATATTGCAAAATTTTTTGCACAAAATTCTTTTGAATTACTGTATTATAATTATTAAATTTACTCACTAATGTTTGGAGTTTTATATGAATTATTATGATGTTGTTTGTAGTAAACAATTTGAATACCAGCGCATTAAACACGAAATTACTATTTCTGAAGCAAAATATTTGTATATTTTTACTCACAAACTAAATTATAATATAAACACTAGTTGTGGAAAATTTTCTTTAATTATTCAAACATATGATAGCATTGAGTGTTGAATAAAAAAAATAGTATTCAATTGTTGGGCTAACAATAACCAGAAAACTGGAAATCATAGGTTTTGGTAAATATATGAGACTTGAATGAGAATTAAGAGAAAATATTTGAAATTCCAGATAATTATTAGTATAAGGAATTCCTTTCAATGATAATATTCACTTCACTCTCACTTTATATACTCTTTTCAAAGCTCAATGTAAACTAGTTTTCGCTATTAATGGGGAAAATATTGTCTACATATGGCTTATTTGGTACCTAAGTATCTTTCAATAGGATTTCCTAATAAAACTAAAAAATTATTGCTTTAAGATCATTATTAATCAAATTTAGAAATGAATTTTGTTTTTAATCAAATGAAAAGCGAAATTTTAAGTAATAAAACTCAAGTATTATCACTTTTCAATTATTTTATAAATTCATTATTTTTTGCAACATTTTCTATTATATAGTATTATCTTTTAATAAATATTTAATTTATTTATACTGTAAGTGAAAACTTTAGAGTAGAAAATAAACAAATTAATTAGTGATTGTTCAGACTCAATATTAAATTATAATTACATTGAATTAAAATCAAAAGTNAATAAAACTCAAACATTATCACTTTTCAATTATTTTATAAATTCATTATTTTGCAACATTTTCTATTATATAGTATTATCTTTTAATAAATATTTAATTTATTTATACTGTAAGTGAAAACTTTAAAATAGAAAATAAACTAATTAATTAGTGATTGTTCAGACTCAATATTAAATTATAATTACATTGAATTAAAATCAAAAGTTATATTTTCCTGAATTACGGTGTATTGATTTGTTTTTAACAATTATATTCAATATATTTTAAGAATTAAATAAAATATTACTATTTATGGAAAGATGTCTAAAACAATTGAATACTTTACTCTGTCGCCCACATCCTAGAGATCCTATTCCTGCCTACAATAGGATTAAATGTATTGTAAAAGTATTTTACATGATATTTTTATGGCATTTACCTTCAAAAATAAACTTTATATTTATTTCTAAAAATATTCCACAACTTTATTGTCATTTCATTAGTTTAAGTGTGTATTAATTAACATTAGCCGTAATAAACATATCGTGTTTTTAAAAGTTATTATAAGAAATGTTAATCAGTATTATACGTGTTTCGTAACGAATGAATACATTTCAAACACATCTTATGGGAAAAGTTCAATGAATTTATTAGTTTCTTAACTCTCAGAGAGTTTTAAAACACAGAAATGTTTTATTTTACTACTAGTTGTTGAGTGTATTTTTGAAAATCAAAATCTCGATACGAATGAACTGGAAATCCCAAAAATATTTTATATTTTAGAGAAAAAAATTCGTTTTCATTTTTTGTAAGAAAAATAAGATACTATAAAATAAATCATAACTTTTGACAATTGTATCACAAATCTAGATCTTGCTCTATTTATTCACATCTAAAGACGTATAGACTAAAATTTAGTCACTAAATAACTTTCAATCGTTTGTGAGCAAGCAAATATTGATGTAAATAATGCGTGTGGAGCATGTTTAATTAATTCATTGGCGAGTTTAATGTACTGCATCTGTATTGACTCGGTTTATCATATTGTTTTAACTTGAATTCAATTCACTTCTTAGTTCACGAGGCGTTCAATAATTTCTTGCCATTCAATGTAAGCGTCAGTCGTCTAACCATTTATTCATTGATTTGTCTGTAAATTCAATCTCTTTAATGCATTCAATATTCTTATTGTCTGTTTTACTATTCAAACAATTCATTGTACATGTAATAAATGAATTGTAAGTCACAATGAGATACATGAAACTCTTTCCAATTTCACAATTCTTTGGTTTATTACAGTGTATTAAGTTTTTTGGGTAGACTTGTACTACAGTAGTGTCTTTATTGTTTATTGCCCTAATGGGTCTAGATTATACTACTCACTCGTATGATGTAACTACTATTTTATCGGTATATTAGTTGACTTAAGTTACACAACTAGGGAATTCATACGAAAAGGATCTCGATATACTTTCACAAAATGTTTTGTTTCCGAAAGTATAAGACTTGTGAACACATATAATAGTTATCTGTTGGCCACGAGTTATTCTTCGAGATATCAAATCACGACAACAATAAATAATATAAACTCAAAAAACATTTATATGAATGATACTAATAAATAAAACCATAAAATTGTTGTAATATTATGAAATATTGTATCAAGATCCTGAATAACTTCATAGAAATGTATAATAAAATTCTATTTTAAATTCTGTGTTTATTTATTAACGATGTGTTGATAGGAAAAGCTGTTAAACAAAATAAACCCAAGATTTTGAACAAATCTATAAATATCTTAAGTATCTTTCAATCGTTTTCGTATCAATTATGTTAACAGTTATAACAAGAAAAATACTTTTACATGTATTTATAAATATTTTCCATCAATTTGTTTGACTATTATATATAACATAATAGAAAATCTATTTTTAAAAGATATTAAATGATAAAATAATTAAATGAATAAAACATATGAAATGCGCTCATTTGAGACAAACACACAAATTATAGGCAAAAATATTGATTTTATGAAATGCTTAAACCATTGATTTACAGTGTCATTAAAATATATATAAATTTTGGGCTCAAATGTAAGTTATTATTCAAAACTAATTATTATTTGAGAATTTAATGAATATGAGAATCATTTTTCCTATTTGTGGACTCATTTATAATAAAACTTTTACGACTAAAAACAAATAGATTTTCATACAGTAATCCGCTTATCAAATAGAAACCAAAAAATTGTCCCCAATTTTTCAGATCATTATTTTAAACAATTTTAATAGACTTAATTTCTAATTAAAAATTTATAGACCCTATGCATATTAATATTTTTATTATTTTATTTTATACATAGAAAGCTTGATATCAATTCGTATCGTGAGATATAATATTGAGATACAAAAGCATTATTAATGAGTTGAGCATATTTTAAGTATAATTATTGATTAAAAAGATTTTTATTTTCTCATCTATTATTTAAAGTATTCCCTCATTTATTATCTAATGGTAGTGCTTGATCTAATATTTGAAATCAATTTGTTTGCTAAATTTAATGCAATTTTAATATTAAACATGGATTTACTCTAAATATCTTTGTACTGAAAAGTGAAAGTGTTTTATAACTACTAAATTACTTAATTTTTAAATAAAAGTATTTTATGCTGGCTTTTAAAAAGTATCAAAAATATTGTCTCTTATCAAGTAGTGATATTTTATTTAATATATCTTATAAATTGTTTTGCTTAAAGTTTGATAACAATTTGTTAATTTTATTATTTTTAATTATCATTACCGTGAAATAAATAAGTAGTTTTTTAAATAGTATTTATTTATTTACTAATATCTTATTAATAAATGTTTACACAAAACATTTGTATAGAGTAGTGCTTAGTAATAAAAGTTTTATATATTTACATAATTATAATTTATAAAAAGGTTACTTAAGTATTAATAGTATTTGTATATTTAGTAAGAATAAAGAGTATAAATGAGATATCAATTATTGATTATATAATAATGATTAATACAAAAACTATTGAGATAATGGTTATGAAATGTCGAGTAAAATGTTAAATATTTTACAAATAATCAAATTATTTATATAATAAACTGATATATTGTGTTAATCACATAAATAGTCACATAAATAAGCCTTTGGTTTAAAAGTTTTAAATTCCGTTGATAACTAAATCTTGAATAAAAATCATTTAATACTAAACGTATAAAGAAATGAAAATGAATTTTAGTTTGCATTTCAAATATTAACATATTTTTGTTCATGGCTTCAATTATCTCACAAATGGACTGAATGTAGCGATTGATTTGGCAGTGAAAGGGTGGACACAGTATTAAACAGCTGCCTCTTTGGCCTTATTATCGTTGATATAACCGTTAGGTTTGTCTCGTAGTGGGTGTGCGATGACTACTGTACTGCCGAGGGGTGAGTCGCACGGCATCATCGATGAGTAGAGTGGCGTCTCTCCCATCTTATGTGCTGTCAAATACAGGTTAACACAAAAGAGATCACAATTTAGTTTTGATTTATATAGCAATTTGTGTCGAGACACAAACAAAAATATAGCTAAAATGAGTTCATGTCTCACCACAACCCGCATAATCTCTGGTGTATCTGATTTTGCATGAGTTATATAGAGGACAAGTCGGACAAAAGCAACAAATCAGTAGAAACACAGCGAATATGAGACACACCATCGATACGGTCACTGCTATCATAAACGCCAGACTATGGCACAGACACAGAGAGAAAGCAAATGAAGATTTATTGCAAGTTTTAAAAAGAGATAGAGATTTGATTTATGGCAAGTAAATCAGGTCTTACTTCTGATCGATCTCATAGATGCTGGTGGAGAGGGAAGGACAGCATCGGTTATCATTGCAGCACTCGCTATAGTGTTTGGGCAGATGACCCGGACACTCGTAGTAGTTCTTAGTCTTAGTGGCGTCCAACTTAGTGGTGGCCGTCTCTCGCAGTGGACAGTACGTGATGGCCGTCGAGATGGACACACACGAGAAGATGGAAATCGAGAATATAAGCAAACAATTCATTGTTAAGTCCGCCGCCGACATAGTTTTATTGATTTTTTTATACAACACTCTATTAGTTAGGAGTATAGTATAGTCTGTCTCTCTATTCAATGCTCTCTACAAAAGATGCACTCTTTTGGAGGTCTCGCACAACACATGTCATCACAACAGGAATGCTATCATTTGGAAGCCGTGTGTATATGGATATCATTGTAACTAATGCTATACTCTATCAAAATTAAAGTTTCTCTCTCTCTCTCTCCCTCTCTCTCTCTCTCTCTCTCTCACACACACACACACATATTACAGTTACACATATGAAATCAACAAATATTTTTTAACACTTGTTTAGCAGAATATAAATTTGTTTTTATGTTTGTTTGTTATAAAATGCATTTTGAAACCAATTGAAATGTTATGTTTATATAACCGTAACTTTTACTACAGTTGTATTTCCCTGAAAATGCAATAAATGAACGAAAATTTTATAGAAATACACAATTAATTTAATTTAACGCTAACTCTATTCCCAAAGGGTTTTGATATATGATATCTGAATCCACTCACGAATTCATAATTACTTTTTGTGGATAAAAATGTTATACAAGAGATACATAAATAATAAAAGCAATCGATTTGACCACAAAAACACACACAAAAATACTGTATAATCCATTTAATTGTATTAAAGTTGCAGTTATCATAATTTAATAAAATCATTAGTTATGAAACGAAAAAAGTCTGATTCTTATGCTAATAACAGTTATGAATACCCGTGTAAAGTGTATAATAATTTGCGGATTTAATTAAATTTGAACAATAATTGAGTCGATGTGTTGCTGTTTGTTGTTTCACTCCCGCATCACAATTCAAATGATGATTAAGTTTATGAAAGCCTTTATAACGGTGTCCCTGATCTCAATCACAATCACATCAGACCTACTCTACTCTTTTTTGATACCTCAATAACAACACATAACATAACCAAACGGTTAGTAGTCGTTACCAATGCTATAGTTTTTTGCCATTTCATCGCTAATCCTATTATTCTTAAAGAATTAGGAAGTTTTGCTAAACATTTATTCAAATTGTGTTTGTCTTACAAACTAATTATCGCTTATTTATAATCCGTTTTGAAATTAATATTTACTTTTTCCGAGATATTTATGTTGTTTTTAAAAATAGCAAACTTTGTAAACTCGTATGATATTTGATTCAATTACATGTTTATTGTTTTGCGTGTAAAAAATAATTTTTTCTAATTCAATTTCAAGGTATGTTACGAAGCATTTAATTGTTTACAAGTCTCTAATTGTAGCGTAATTATATTAAATAAGTGCATGTTTTCTTATATATTTATATCTCTTAAAAACAGTTATTGGACCCAATTTTTTCTGCAAAAAGGAAATCTTATTTTTGTTTTTCTTTTTGTTACATTTTTCTAAAAAGTTTTTACTTTTAAATTTTATTTCAACTACTT